GCACTCGCATTGCGAACACACACACACACACAGACAGCCTCTCGACAATATGCGTTTTTGCTAGCTCCTCAACCCAAAGCGCTGCTATAGCGCTGCACAGCAAAAACGCATAAAAAATTGCGGACCAGGTCCAAGCTGTTAACGATTTTTGGGTTGAGGAGCTGCTTGAGGCTGTGGCTGGGGTGCTCGACAGCTGAGTTCAGGATCTTTAACTCGCACATGCATAGAGAATACCCTTGCAAAGTTTCAGCTTTCTACGTTGCCTGGTTCGCGAAATCGTTTCTCGCCGACATATTTCTTTGAGATCCTGTACGCGGGGTCTAGGCGCGTATGGGAAAAGATCTTAAAACGGGAGGATGACACACAAGGTAGGAACATATATCCAAAGTTTCAGCCTCTCAGCTTTCCTGGTTGCTGAGATGAAAGTGGGTGAAAAAATGCACTCGCTTTCCGAACACACACAGACAGCCTCTTGACAAGATGCGTTTTTGCTGGCTGTAGCATTGCTATAGCGCTGTACAGCAAAAACGCTTAAAAAACAGTGAAAACAGTGCGATAATAAGAATAATAACAATAACAGTGACAAAAATAATAACGATAACGGTGATAATGATAGCAAGAACGATGATAATAGCGGCGATCGAAAAATAATAATTATAATGATAGCAGCAAAACTGAAATTTAAAATTTTTCATTTATTTTTGAGGGGGTGGGACAAATTTTTCCTCTCTTGGCCACACTCAGAAAACAAAAATGCTATTATGGCGGTAGTAAGTACTATATGGGGCAGTATTTCGAAGAATGCTGTCGGCATTTCTATGGCTTAACCAATCTTCCAACAAAAAGTAGTGTTTTTTTGCGCAGAACGATGGCGTACAGAAACGGATGGTCGGCAATGAATTCTTCCGGCTCCAGCGTTGAGACCGATACTGGGACCATTCCTTCCTCTGTTGCCGCTGCTGCTTCTGTACCCTCCTCGTTCACCTGAAACAAACGATGACTGATAACTTCAGTTTGACCAGTGAGACGATACTCGAATCGACTACTGGTTCATCACTGATTCATTTATAGTATGACAATCACGCCACTTTCCTTCTTCATCTCAAGTCATCTTTCTTGCTTGATGGTCAGCTCTCATTCTTTTCTTTCCTAAAGGTTTATCTGCTCAGAGACATTTTTCTTGGCCCTTTGAATGACTTTCCATAACGTATTTTGAAAATAACGAGGCTTTCCTCTTTTAGATTTTGCATGCATTTTCTAGCTGGATAGGGTAAAAGAACAGCACACAGAGAGAAGCAGCAACAGTCGAACAGAAATGTAAGAATCGTATCAGTTGAGCGCATTCAAAATTTGTTTTTCAAAAAAAAAAAAAAAAAAAATAATTCGCCAGGGCATCGACTGCCGGCACGCAAATGCGTTTTTTGCACAGTTCGTCACAGGTTTTTGTCGAATTAATGGCACTGTTTTTTCCGACAGATGCATCTAGCTACTGAGACTGGCCAGAAAATACCACCTTAAAATTTCAGCTTTCTAACTGTTCTGGTTTCCGAGTTAGCAACTTACCCGCTAAAAACTTTCACGCGCTCGTGAGTGCCACGCAAATCTGGAAGGTTGAATATGAAGCCATAAGGTTCTACGCAGACAGAGAGCATCTGCTTAAAATTCCAGCTGTCTAGCTTTTCAGGTTCCTGAGTTAGCAACTTACCCGCAAAAAAATTTCTCGGGCCCGTAAGTGGGAGTCCCGTGGGCAAAAGTGTCCGTTCTGGGAATAAGGGCCCACAGATGCATGTAGATTAAGTTCCCAAAATTTCAGCCTTGCAGCTTTTGTAAGTCTCGAGATGAAAAATCCGTAAAGACGCAAACATAGACACACAGACAAGCCCTCGTCAATATGCGTCTCTGCATTGTATAGATGTAAAAAACGCATAAGAACGAAAGCTTGCGAAATCTTTTATACACTTATTTTTCAGTTATTTACAAGTCCCAAGAGAAAGTAATGACAGCCTAAGCAACCTTAAGATGTGAAGTACATGTAGCGAATATGTGGTAGGTATTAGCTGAAGATTTACAGCCCAACTGGCGTAGCTGGACACGACATATGGGAGCATACCAGTAAAATCACTAAAATGGGGTTCCCGTCCGTTAAATCAAAGCACGAATCAATTGCAAAATTTTTAAGAAGCTAAATCAATAAATTATAATTAAAAAGTTAGTAAAACGACAAAAACTATGAAAATACTGTTGGCTTTTTTCGTTGAAACAAAGATTCATCGTACATTTTTTGAAACAAAGTACCATACGTGTCTGTTGTCATTTAGGTACTCAACCAAACCGTTCCATTACTAATTGCTGCTTTCGTATTAGACTAACCTCGATGAATGCCTTCTGGATGACATCCGAGATTTTCAACGGCTGTTCACTGATGCCATCGAAAGTGGCGAAATC